TTGTCATTTGGTTCTAAGTCAGTTGATCAAAGAGCCAGAAAGCAAATGGAGAGGTTCAGATCCTGTAGGCAAGGGCGCCCAGTCACACTAGAAAGCGGCAGAGTGAAATGCAGTGAATACATGAACTGTAACATCAGTTTAATCTACTGCACAGTTGGATTAAAATTTGATGGTTTGGCACACAGTGTATGACTTTTATCCCTTACATGATGTAAGTCCTTTATAAACAATACCAGCACTTGGCTCACAGTGACTTTATTTTCCTACAAATTACACTGACTTTGGAGCACAGGAGGAGTCACCCAGAGCTCCTCATCCCCTGGGGCCATCCAGAGCCACAGCCACGTCTGGTGAAAGTGTGAGTCAAAGATCTCACAGCCAGACTGTTATGCCTCCATCTGGGCCCTTGAATTAAACATCAGCTAGGCAGACGGGTTCCCTGCCTCAAAGCTTAAGGGGCCAGGATCTGAGGCCAATTAACCCATGCCCAGTCTATTCAGACCTTACTTTGTAGCCAATTAAGAGGGCATATTACAGAAGGGGATCGAATGGGATGAAAAATAACAGGTTTCATTTGACATCAGGCAAATAGGATGTTGTTTACATAAACTCATAGTGACTGAAAAACATTTTCTGCTTGGCAATGACTGCAGTCTTCATAAGCTAAAAAAAACACATTCTGAAGCCCCTGGATAATCAATAATAATATGCGGGGTTAAGCTTATGTTTCACTAAAGCTGCCAAGAGCACCAACAATATTTGCTTCCAGTAACTGTATATATGAGAATAACTTAACTCTTTTGTTGAGCCGCTGAGTGCTGAACTCCTGTGTTCATTTTGTATGCTTTTTAATGTATTATCCATCTATGTGTTAAGCACTTGGAATTGCCATTGTGTGTGAAAATGTGCTATATAAATAAACTCACCTTGCCTCCAAAAATCTCTGAGGCACTATGTCATTTTATGTCAATATGTCATCAGACACTAGTTTGTATTTAGTTCAACTTGGTTGCAGTTCTTTTTCTCTAACAACCTTCTAGTATGAGGACATATTTCTGCAATTCTGCAGATGAGACATGGACAGGAAACACAGTGACTCATACTGTAAGAGCAGAAGTGAACAGCAAGAGAGTTGTTTTCTTCTGCAACATGGAGTAGCTGATGAAGCAGCCTGTCACACTGTTATACTGCACAATGAAAGGGTACTATAGAGCAAATCACATCACTAAAGAAGCATTGTTATTATTTTTATGTTAAGAAAAATCATGTTCATTATGTCACTTGTTGAGTTAAACTGATTTTCAGAAAAGAACAATGAGGTGGAAACACCAGTGTTACTAGATGAAGACTGGGAAAAAACATACATAGGAACATGCAGACACTGGTTGATTGAGCTTTCATGGACCAGTGCTATGAGTTTCCCCAAATAATTTGTCTAGGATTTATCTTCATTCTGTGCTGGCTGTGAGAATTATGACAGTGAGATGCTTTCCGTTGCTTTGGCTCTGATCTACACTGAATTTGAGATGAAACACCCACTATGAGGTTGACACTGATTTTGTATGAACAATTTAGAGCGTTCTATCTTTGGGGAGGAGAGTAAGATAAAGTGTATAACAACCAAAACAATTTTTACATGAGTTATCAGATGTAAATGTAAACACATTTAATGTAAGTTAAAGATAAAAGTCATTGGTTTAACCTCATAGTCTGATAATTTCATTTCAAATGCAATAAGCTGAATCACAGATGATACTCAACCATATTTGGGAGTATTCAACTTCCACAATACAATTTTATCTCCTGCAGGGCACTTTTCTTCTTAATTAGCAGCGATTTATTAGTGAAAAGTATATGTTTTGTGACAGAGAGGATCCACAGGTATACAGTTTATGGGACACAGATGGATCATTATATAAAGGGCTATACTATGAAAAAAAGCTGTTCAGTATTTTCATATACACTGATTGTTTGCTGGTGGTGCTGGCAGAACTGCAGCAGATGGTGAAATAGTGAATGTACTGTATAAAGCTGATTAATGAAACTCTTCCAGCTAAAACCACCACTGCATTTCTGTGTAAGGTTCTATTGCCAGGTGCAGCATTGCAGGCACATATCAACAAGGTTGGGAAGAGTTGGGACTTGGCTCCGTCTTTGGTTCATGTCAGCTACAGTACTGTATGACATAAAACATGTCTGCTTGCCTGTCAAATACTTTTATCTGTGAACCTGCTATTTTCAACTCAGTGTACACACACACATTTAGTTGTTAGGACACTCACTGATGATATTCCGTAGCCCCTTCCCCTAACCATCACATTTAAATGCATTAAACCCCCACCCCCGTGTTTACCCTAATCTAAACTATTCTAACCTGGACCCTAAAATCGCTGCCTGATGTTGTACCGGCCAAAATATAGAAATGTCCTCACAATATGGAGCTAACATTTGTCCACATAATCACACAAAGATGTGCACACATGCACATCACATGTTCCTATTGGAGCTGGTAGGGTAAATTCTTGAAGATACGATCTTTACAACATGTATAACTAGCAATTCACTGCATTCAGCCCCTTTGAACGCCCCCTCTGAATACCTAATATTTTATATCAAACTATTCCCTCAAGGTAGGAAAAAGTGTAATGACAGTGAAACTAAACAAAACAGGTGTTCATGCTATGGGTTACTTTCAAGGCCCCGATAGTTAGAGAAAGACTGCAAATCACTGAAATGATAGCTGTGGAATTAGAATGAACTCATGCGAGCGTTGGGTGAGCCAACACAGTTACAGTATAGCAGTACTTTGGAGGGTTCTAGATGGCATGAATTATGGAAGGGTGGGTGTTTCTTGATGTTAACTAAACAATGACCCTGGTGTACTGGAAATGCTGTAGGGAGTTACAAAAAGCTCTCTTGTTTAAAATAACTGGCATACATTTCAAAAGCAAACATTTTATTTAACAACATGAAAAAGTGCCAACTCAGTTTCAGAGCCACCAAAATAAAAAACTGACAAAAAACTGAAATTAGCTACAGCTACAAGGCAACTGGAGACTTGTTGGATTAATCCCAGTGATGAGGTCAAACTATGACTGACTTGGCTGGAACCTCTGTTATTATTTATTAAAAGTAAAATACCATTGTGCAGCTTTCTATACAACAGCTCTACTCTCAGGACAGGGCTTACTAAAATTTTAATTTAATTTAAAACTTAACTGACTGCAAAGCCATCACCTCTAATTACTCTATAATTAAGCTGCTCAACTGAAGCCACCAAAACAGATACTTACATGAGGTGGTGGCCTCTCATGATTCGATTACTTTATCATTAAAGGTAGCTGTGACTAAACCAGTTTAGAGTAGGCAATAACCATTTGTATTGTCTGACAGACCAAAACCAATAAACATGAATAAAACAAAATAAAAATGCAAAAGCCTGCAAAGGAAAATATGGCTAATAATAAAGCTCAAAACTTCTTTCATATTATTTCCCAAACTTAATATACAGTACTGTGTATATTTTAGTTTCTGAGATACTGCACAGTGCATTGAAGGTGGAGTTCTGTTTGCAGAACACAGAAGCCAGCTGTAACCAGCACGACTTGGTTATTCACATTCATATTAATTCTAAGTATGTTACATGTCTGAGATGTTCACTTCTGCTGTTTGATGTCAGCCAAGATTTTAAGTAAACACAGGCCAAATTAATGCATAAATGATGAGTTACAGCATATGTTGTGTAACGTTTCAAGAATTAGTGCTGCATTAAATTCATTTTGTACCATTAGAGAACCAACATTTGTTTCCAAGCAGATAATGCACAGAGCAGCATGAGAATCCCATTGGAGTCGTGTTTCTAGCCACATTATCTTTTTTTCTTTGCTGTTGTTGTTCTTTTTGTTTTTTTGTTCTTCATCAGCACATACTGAATCACCAACTACTGAGAGAAATATTTGTTTTTCACTATTTGGCTGCTCAACTTTCTTCCCCAGCCACTCACTCACTGCAACCCGAGCAGGTACAGTAGTATTCATTCTGCTTGTTGAAGCCTGTTTGCTGCATGTATCTCAGAAATTCTAATGATAGTTTCACATTACACAGCCTTTTGATTCTATATCAAATGTAGCACCTACTGCAATTTACAAACCTAATGCCTTTATAATAAGTATTAGCATTAGTAACATTTATAATCACAAATTGTTATTAACACATTTCAGCAGTGTTATCCATTACCATTTGAGGACATGGCTTTCAGTTGCTAACCCTCTTAAATACTGACTAAATACTGTCAACAGATGGACATCTTCCATTGTGGTGGACAGCTCTGCCAGGAGTTGCAGAGTCTGACTTGCAGGCTGAGTGATGTGCCAGCCAGTGCCCCACCTCTGACTCTGTGTGAGAGTCCTCAAGACCGTTTAACCCAATTTCAGCCAAACCCTGCCTCTCGCTCAAACTTGTTCGTAACCTCTTCTCAGTGATATTTTTCTTCTGCTTGTACTTGCACATGTACTTTTCTTGAGTATCTCAATTTTCCACAACTTTATGCACTACTTCTACTCCACTATATTTTAGACAGAAATATTGTACTTTTTACTCCACCACACACTCACACACATATATATATGGTCTGTTCACACAGTCAATCACAACAACTAGCTCTTCCTGCAATAAAAAAAACAACTGAAGTTAAGCAAAGGTCATGCAGTTTTTAGTGATTTGCTCAGCAATATTTTGATGACAAGTATTTTGCCATCATCAGGTCATCATATAGTGGTTAGTACGGTTGACTATGTACATAAGTCAAATATTTCTAAATATACAACCCGGTGACTTCTTTACAGAAGTGGAAAACATTAGTTAACTCATGATTTTCACATAGCCTTTTGCTGTCTTTGGGGAAATGAAAATAGACACTTGGCTCATAGTTTCCCTCCTAACCAAGATTCACTTCTCTTGAAGTGGTTTAAGTTTGTGATTTATATCGTGGATGGCCAAAGTAACATCTCATCTGGACAGGACTGCTTCTCTGTCAGGGCTCAAAAATCTTGAAAAAATAATTCAGTAAAAATACCTTGGACAACCCAGCGGACATACTACCGCAGACCATGGGCTGTTTTTCTGCCACACATGGAGTTCTCTTTTTGTTTGGATTCATAACCCTCTCAGTAGCAAAGGAGGACACCTGTGACCTCTATGCTGCAGTTGGAGAGAGCCTGACTCTGCCTTTTGTCAATGAGGGGCTGGCAAAAACGCATGTACTGAAATGGACTCATAATAACACACTCATTTTTCACAGACAGCAAGAGAAAGTGCTCACTGGAAAAAAAGAAGACACCTCTGCCAATGGATCTCTTTTGCTGAAGAACCTACAGTTCTCAGGAGCAGGAACCTACGAAGCAGCTGTGCAGCATTCAGCTGGTAGTTCAACTAAAACATGGACCGGTCGTCTATGTATTATGAGCAAGGTATCAAAACCTCAAGTTACATATGAGTGTGACTTCAAGTCTAGTGCAGTTAACCTAACATGCAATGTAGCCAAACCTCAGGGTCTGATGTTCTCATGGACACATGGTGAAAAGACATTAACAAGCGAGAAAAGACAAACACTGAGTATATCACTAGCACAGCTGAAAGGAGAGAGAAGGTTTGCATGTACCGTGGAAAACAAAGTCAGCAAGGAGAGGAGTGACACTGTCCATCCAACCTGTAAAGATCTGTCACCATCACCACCAATTGTGCTTTGTTTTACATCCAAAACTGTTGTAGCGGTGCTAGCAGGAGGTGCAGGTCTGACTCTGCTTTTGCTCATCATTATCATCATATTATGTTGCTGCCTCAGACGTAACAAAACCCAAATGGAGCTCGGGGAAAAAGGGCAACTCAAGATGACTTCTGTAAAGAAGAGAGAGCCTGACTCTATCAGCCCAGAGTATGAGACTATGCATCTGAATGAGAACTCTCCACCCCCAAACCCCAAGCCTTCACCAAACACCTCTCACCAAAATGTTCCTCAGCCTGACAATCAGACTGAAAACATGCCCTCACAGCTATCAGCAGCTGTTGAGGGGCTACAGCCTTCACCGGTGCCAAAGCCGAGGACGAAAAGACCCCTGACACCAAACATCTGAATGTGTTTCTCTGTCTTGCCGCCCCAGAAACTTTGAGAATTGATCAAAAAGACATAAAAGTCTTAATTTTATGATAAAACATTGCTCATCTGTGTTGAAATTTTGTAGCCCTTATAGTGGTGGGGTTATGAGTTTGTGGGGAGTACAAGATGTTTTCTATGATGGATACATTTCAGTAATACTGTTTTGTTCTAATGTGTTTTATTATTAATTATTTAACTGCCAAGTCAACGCAGTAGTAGTTCCACAGTGTTTAACAACAATCCAGATTAAAAACAAGGTGGTTTCTGTCTAAAATCGTTTGTCCTTTTTTAGCAGCAACTCCAATGAAAAGGTCAAAACCAACTTAATATTTTCCTTCTTCTTTCAGCATTTTCCAATTTCCTTAATTGTGACAGTGGCACTCAGCCCTAAGCTTAGTGCTTTGAATCAAATACATACATTTAAAAAGACATACAAATTTAAATGCATATGTAAAACATTTTTTATTAAATAAAATGCTAAATCATTTCTTAAAACAGCTGTAGTTTTTAGCAAATATTTTTTCAAACAAGAGTAAATTGTGTATTTGTTGGGGACTGATTTCTGTGGATTGGAACACATCTGGGGCTTTAGCAAGTATTTCCTGTGCCAGGATGGTGTGACTGAAATCACTACAGGGACTACACTCTGTGCAACAGCGTGGCTCAGTGTCCTTAATGGCTTTGGGACAACGTTGGTGGTCTATGCCACAGACAAATAGGTTATATCTGTCATTGGATTCATAAACAATACTTGTTAGTACTGATTCATTGTTTTTTTTTTTATCTTTTCATGGAAACATAATGGACAAAAATATGAAAAAGAAAACATGGCCATGTCTTGATCTCTTCAGTCTGAGACACTTTACATAGAAATGCTTCAATTAACAATTAGATGTTCTCTAATTTCAACACACTGCATGCTTATATATATATAGTTAGGAATAAAGGAAGAAGTCCAAAATGATGTTACATCTCATATTTGTATGGAAAACTACATTACACATCTTATCTGTGTTCAACACAGCCCTTTGTTCCAGCTTCTTACATGTCAGCATTCTTGCACATATTAAAATTTGCTGGCTGGGAAGAAGTTATTTAAGGGGGGGGGAATCAATAGCAGAATGGATTAGCTTCGGCAAATATCTGTTATCTCCGATGGGTAAACGGTAATCCACACATGAAAGTGGTTGCTGTCTTGCCTAACGTTGTCTGACAGCCACATAATGGAATCCCCCTGAGTGTCATCGCCTAAAACTTACAAGCCAATGTCATCTTTTGTCAAGCCCCACTCTACTTCTGCTCTCTTTACATGGCTGAAATTTCAGTCCAGTTGGCTGGGACTTGGCAGGAAAGCTGGTATCTGCTTCTGGAACAACGCCATTTGTTTTTCTTGAGAAATACTTTAACTCGGCTGGCAACGCGCCACTTCACATCCACTCACAAGCTAAAAATTAGAATGATATACAGTGATACAGAGCAACACACATGCACTGTACTGTACTCTCCCACAAGGTACAACTTAATGAAACACATCTCATATGCCTTTCCAGATCTGCCTCGAAAATTAACAGGAAATACTTATGAAATGTGTTTAATCAGTGGCTCTTGGAGTCTAGAGCCACTGATTAAACTCCAAACTTAAAAAAGCATAAAACTTTATGAACATTTTTAAACAACACCCAGTTGTCTATTAGAAAATAACACAAGCAGAATAAATACACAGGGAGACCCTTTTGATCGTGGCATGTGTGTGTCCAGCGAAAGGGTCAATTACCCATGGAAAGTATTTATACTCAGGTCAGGTCATTCTTATTACAGTTCAGTCATTGTCACAGACTGCCAAGTCTGGGGAAAGTTAATCAGAATATCAGAGGTCAGCTAGTGCAGAGGCCTTTTTCATTAGATTTGTCTGAAAAGTCAGAGATGATTATGACCTTTTAGCATTCTTGAACCAACTTAACAATCGTTGACCTTTGCTTTCTCTGAAACTTAAAGCACAGAAAGCAATTAGCTGAAGTCTCAATCTTCCAATCAGTTCCCAATTTACAGCAAAAACAATGTGGCCAATTGGCTGTGACTTTGAATACCAAGATGCTTAAAGTGACAGCCTTTAAAAATAATTCAGCATGAAAAATGTTTTGAAAGCTGGCAGTCTTATTGGATGCATCATAAAACTGTGTCAAAATCCGCTTTCAAATGTCTCCTTAAGCATCAAAATCACAGTACTATCAACACACCAGTCCAATTTATTTTTTCTCCTCCATCTGTGCGCCTCACACGCTTTTTCACACACTTATTTCACACAGCACATGCAATTTGTTCACTGGCTCTGCACAGTCTGTGGCTGTCTGCAACACACAAAATCAACTTCATAAATTTGCTGAGAAATCAGGCTGCACTGATTTTTAATGGAGGCAGAAAACTTTCCAGACCTCGGCAAGATTTAGCACCTCACAAACACTGGATGTCTGGGGCCAAAGGGATGCCTAGTGCACAGGAGGTTTCTAACATCTTACTCTACACCCACTCTGATCTTATTTTTTCAAAAGATTGTGTCTTTGGTAAAAGGTACATTTTTCTTTTTACTGTACCTGATTACAAACTCAGCCCTGTTTAGCAATACCCCTTGATTGCGTTGCACCAGTTTCTGTTTAAAGTTGTTGCTATGTTCTAGTAAATTTCAATTTCAAACTAGTGATTAACAAAACTGGGAAAAAACATCAAAACTGAGGGATGTCTTGACTTAATCTACTAATTAGAATTAGTGGGAAATATCTGCTTAACCCACCTGTTATGTTCATTTCTCAGGAACAGCAGTGATGTTCCTGGGTAAATTTTACCATTACTAACCATTTCACTCATTATTTAGTGCAATGGTTTTCTTTACCTCTCACAGATTATGGTTCAATAAGGATAATGCACTTGTTTTTCATAAAAAAATGCATGGTAAAGCTTTTTAATGTACACTGGAAAGACTTACATATACTGTACAATTATTTTTACATTTCACATTGTTATTTTATTTTATTTTATTTAACATTTAGAAATCTTTACTTTTTATGAAGTTATGTTGATAAATTAACATGAGACACCTCTTCTGTTCTGACCCGATCAGTATCTTTGTAATATAAATATGCAGGGGGAAGTTGCATATGTGAAATGAACCGTTTTCATTTTGTGTTTATATCTATTAAGCCAAGCAGAAGAAGTTTCATACCAAATTAATACTATTAACGATTGTTTTTAGATGTTTAAACTTTACATTGGACAACATATCAGGAGGGTTAAGCGAAAGTAACAGACATTATTGAGGTGCAGTGTATTGTGTTTGAGAACTCTCCAGTTTACATCACCATTAAAAAGCATTTTAGTCAAGCACCATGTCAGATGTATAGTCCTTTCTCCATTAGTTCCTTTACTCTTCAGGTTAAATGGGTAACATATTGGCAAACAAGAATCTGTTGGTTCAGTTACCAAATGAACAGTTACCCCTAGCAGCACTGGATGTAAATATTAAACATGGGCTTGCACACTTAGTCATGGATTGGACTAACTGAAAGTTTTTTACCTTATAGAAAGTCTTAACATAAAAGTGCCAGGGGAAAAATAAAAATTAATAAAGATTCCCCATAGAAGGGATTTTTCATGCAGTGTCTTTATCAGCAATGTAGGCAGGTGGCATTATGGGAGATCATAAGGGGTATGAGTTCCTAAAGAATCTGACATGTTGTTCAAATGTATCCTCTGGAAAAGGAGGTCACATTTCAGATGATACAGAGTGTAAACCAAAAAGCTTGTATGATAATACATCCTGTCCTAGGAAACCGACTGCGGTGTGTGTTTCTTTGTCATGGTTACACAAGGATAGCTTGTTGAATCTCTGTTTATAAAAGGATTTTCTTTGCCGGATTTCTCTTAGCAGAGCTTCTCAGTCACTTCCTTGCACTCTTGCCAAATACTCCATCGATTTCCACTTTGACAGAGACTCCTGCGGAGGCTGATTAAATGAAAACCCGTGACAAATAGGCTTCCAACACTTCTTTAATCGGCAGCCTGATAATTTTATAAGTTTCTTCATGGATGACTCAAAGTTGCAAAAGCACGTTTTCAACAAGAAAAATTACAGAGGGTGATTGCCTTGACAGGTCTGACATGTTTGTGTTTTGTTCCCATGACAACAATTCATTAAAATTGAGTTTGTGTGTCTACTGAGGTCATGGAGCAGAAATCCAAACATGTATCTGGCTATAGCTCTGTGTAGTGGCCTCTCATTTTTTAAGGACAAATTCACAATTATCACCTTGCCACAGTTTTGCCGAAGCTTAATTCATGGCTGAGTCTCAAATTTCACATCTGAAACAGAATGCATGTGTGGATCACTTTGATACCACATTATCTCTTCAGGAAATGAAACACAAAGCTCATACAGAAAGAAGAGATGGGCAGAATTATTGTTCAAACCATATAGACAGCAAGTAGAACAAACATTCCCATAAATTAATTCAAATGCCTCAGCTGTTGCTCTGAGCCAACGGGTCTGGTGTGTGAAAAGAGTAAAGATGGGAAAACAATAACCCTTTGTCTGACACAAATCTAGACAGGAGCACATTTGTAGCCGGTGAAGGAATGTGACAGCACCCAGACCTGCAGTCCGATGCAGAAAATCACTGCTCTCAGCAGATACTTTAAACATAATTCATACTTGTAATATATTACATAAGAAACTATATGGATCCACCAGAAATATTGAGTAACACACATTCATTTTTCCAGCTCATCTTATATGAGTGTTACCTTTTTTTTTTAAATCTGCTAACAAGGATCTTCACCAGAGGGTTATCGTACTACTTCCCCCACATGCCACCAGTCTCCATGCAGAAGTCTCAACCAACCAGGAGTTGCTGGTGTAAAAACAGACTAGATCCCTCACTGGCTTTCCACTCGCCAGTGTTATCAGAGTCACAACAAAGCTGGCAGGCTTTCTACCACCCATGCAAAGACATTAAACAGTTTATGTTAATAAAATAATAGCAGGGAAAAAAAACCCTTTGTATCTTTTCTGTCTGTACCACAACTATGCACAGTTCAGTTCATGAAATAACAATCTTCTAAACCCTGCAGCTGCTGCAACATGACAGGGCTGTCACTTTTCAAAACACATAATTGTAATGAAGCCATAATATGCCAGATACCATTGCATATAAACCTTGCAATCTTATTGGCGACAACTGTTTTACAAGCTTCAGGCAGAGACAGCCCGACATAAGTAAACTAAATACCTGTTAAGGCCCACCATGATCACCAAGGGGCCCCCAAGACTTCTTGAAATGTCCCACAAGCAGAGCTGGGTGGCTCTGTACGCTCAGTACACAAGTT